AAATTGTGGATCAAATCCTAATTGCAAACGAGAGTGTGGAAAATTTCAAAAGGCATATGACTTGGTGGATTGGTCATTTCTATTGGAAGTCTTAGAGTCTTTTGGATTCGGGCAGAAGTGGTGCAAGTGGGTGAAAGGATGTATTAGGACTTGCCACTATTCCATTTTAGTGAATGATAGGGTGGTATATCGTTTCCAGGCTACCAGGGGCATCAGGCAAGGAGACCCCCTTTCTCCTTTCCTTTTTACTCTAATCCCTGAAGTCCTAGGAAAACTCATTGAGAGGGCAGACTCTAGAAACTTGGTGAAAGGCTGGAGGGTAGGGAGGAATAGGGTTCCAGTAACACATCTACAGTTTGTTGATGACACAGTTCTTTTCTGTGGTGGGGAGGGGGTATGTTGGGTGATAAAGCAAGTGATCAATGTATTTGAACAGGTGACTAATCTTAAAGGGAATTTAGACAAGAGCTGCATGATTGGCATTAATTTGAGTGAAAGTGWGGTGGTGGATAGAGCCCGAACTTTGGGTTGTGAGATAGATCAATGGCCATTGATCTATTTGGGGCTGCCACTAGGGGATAACCCAAATAAAAAGAATTTATGGAACTCGGAGATTGAGGGATTCACTAAGAGGTTAGCATCTTGGAAGAAAAATTACCTATCCATGGGAGGCAGAATAACTCTGATTAAGTCTATATTGGCAAATCTGCCTGTGTACTTTTTGTCGATGTTTAAAATGCCTGAAGGAATATGTGGGATTTTGGAAAAGTTAATGAGAGACTTCTTATGGGAACCAGGAGAGGAGAAAAAAGATCATAGGGTCAGGTGGGATGTAGTTACCAAAACCAAAAGTGATGGTGGGCTTGCTTTAGGCAATTTGTAGAAAAAGAATGAAGCTCTACTTGGAAAATGGCTTTGGAGGTTGACTTTGGAAAGGGATAAATTATGGGCTCAAATTGTCTTAAGTCATGGGCAAGCGGTAGATGGCTGGGACTCTGGAGTTTCAGCCAGGGCTACGAGAGCTTCTCCTTGGACATCAATTCATGCCATACTTCTTTCGTTCCTCTAATCAGGTATGATATGTGCTCCAGTAACCTCGTGAAATTTTGGGATCATGTTTGGGTGGGAAGCCCTCCACTAAAAGAGCTCTTCCCTTCTTTGTATTCTTCTTTATCACGTTTTAAAAATGAGCCAGTCTCCACTTTTTTGACCACTTCTAATTCAATCATTGATTGGAATTTGGGTTTTAGAAGGGCCCTTAGAGACCCGGAATTGAACCTCATTGCTGGCTTGCTAAAATTCCTTGAGGGGGATAGTAGGGTTTGGGCTCCTTCTCCTTCGGGTGTCTTCTCATGTTCCTCTTTCTTCAAAGAACTGGCTCATTCCCCACCTGTCTTTGGAATCCCTTTTCCAGTTTTGGAAGTCGGGGGTAGACCAATTCCTCCCAGAATTAGTGCATTTTGTTGGGAAGTTTTCCTCGAAAAGTGTAACACTTGTGACTTACTTCAAATAAAATGGCCTAATTGGTGTTTATCCCCACACTGGTGCATCCTTTGTAAGAAGAATGGTGATGTACAAAGCCTATTCCATTTCTACTACTTCTAGGGGGCTGAAGAAGAGAGGGAAAATTCTGTGGAGGTGTGTAAGAGCAGCTGTATGTCGGACAGTCTAGGAGGAAAGAACTAATGGACTTTTCATGGGAAAGAAAGAAATAAGGGTGTAATCATTGAACTAATTTTTATAAGGGTGATTCATTGGGTTAAGACTTTGCAAATTTTTGAAAACTATTCAGATGGAGATATCATCAGGAAGTGGAAAGAAGTGGCTTGGTCAGTTCCAAGGAAGAATGTATATTACCCAGTTTGGTCCCCTCCAGCTTCAGGGTTCACTAAACTAAACTTTGATGGTAGTAGTGAAGGAAATCCAGGTCTGTCGGGTATAGGGGGAGCTTTCGGGGATGATGAAGGTTGAATTATCACATTGTATTCTGGTTCTATTGGATGGGGGGACTCTCTTAGAGCTGAAATATTGGCTGTTTTGGAAGGGTTAAAAAGAGCTCAAGAGTTAAATATCAGAAATCTGATAGTGGAAGGTGATTCTAAGTTGGCTATCAACTGGTTAATGAAGGATGATTCTAGTCTGCGGAAGTTTCTGCATGAAAAGAAGAAAGTTAGACATTTCATACAAAATATGGAAGTCAAGTTTCAATGGCTTAAGAGGTGCGCCAATTCCTTGGCAGATTCATTGGCCAAACAAGGGGTGGGAAGAGTTAAGTTTTTGTATGCAACATTGTAATCTGAACTACTTTCTTGGGAGGGTTAAGAGTTTTTACCCCTCCTCTTGTATCTTTCTTTATTAATATCTTTTAATAAAAGTCTTTGTTATCTGTCAAAAAAAAAAAAAAAAACAGCAAAGGGCACTTTGGAGTTGTGCTCTGGTATGGATTCTACTTCTGGTCAGAAGTTCCACTTGGCCATGAAAAGTTGAAGATGCTCCGTCTCCTTCTAATTCTATGCTGTGCCAGACAAGGAGAAAAGAAGTCCAGGCTTCCCAAGCCAACCCATAGTAGATGTAAATACTCCTGAGCATTTTTCCTTAAGCACCTTGCAAAGGATTAAACAACATGTCCATTTTCTTCTCTATACTACTTTTAATTAGAGAGAGGGTTGGTGCAAAATCCCACCTATATTGTTCCTTTGAACATGATGATCAGAACCTGAGAATGCGAGAAACTTTAGCATGGTGTTTGGCACCAATTTGTTTCACAAGGTTCTGTTTCACCAAGAATCGGGAACACCAATCCCTGTTTTTATGAAAAACACAAAAAACCACGTTGGTGGGGATGCATGCTGACTGGATGTTTAAAGTACTTTGGCTTTATTTTAATAATATTTTCATTATGATTTATGACAACTGTATGACATGTTAGAAAGGTTGTCAGGTATTTCAAATTTCAATGTGCCACATCAATTTGGTGATTCAGGGTCACCAAGGTGATTCAAGAAATGTCAATTTGATGTTTCAAAAAACTCCTCCTCTACATAGTTATCAAGGTGATACCTAGGTGGGCACCTAGGCGATAAGGCACTCTTGGAAGGTCACCTCACCCAAATGCCTACATATTTATATGTAAGACACCACATAAAATTTTTATATTTTTATTTTATGTTGTTAATAGTAATACAATAGATGCTATTACTCTAAACTATTCATATTATGGGTTTATAGTATTTATATTATTAGTCTTATACTAATTTCTTTTTTATTATTTTCTTATTTGTTTGGTTCAATTGGCACATAAGTCAATGACATAGTCTTGAGCCCTTTAAGACTTTAAAACCTGAATTCATAAGTAAGAAATAACTTGAAGATTTTATCCAATTGGCATATGTTTTGTATGTTTTCTAGGACCAAAACAAGGGCTCAACCCTTATGTTTTGTATGCTTTCTTTCCTTTCTTATTTTTCTTCTCATAAATATGTTTATTTTCTATCTTTTTGATATGGGGCTTATACTTATTTCATGAGCATTATGGTAATTATTAGTTAAAGATTACTGCTTACTACTATGAAACCTGGGGAATTATCCTAGGATTTATATTTTTTATTTTAAAAAATTCATTGCCTAGGCAACTAGGTGAYGAGGTGTTCCTCTGTTGCCTAGCTTTGCCTTGGCACCTTTAAAACTATGCTCCTATCATGAATGAAAAAGCTAATCATTGTAGCATTTTTTTTGATCAATACATTGTAGCATTTTTTTCCAAAAAACAACTTGCCAAACATGATTAAGGAGCGCTTCTGTTTTTTTCCTAATGTGGCAAGTTGGTGAAACGGATCACTTATGACACATTGGTGCCAAACACCAATGAGGGTGCCAATATGGAATACATAAAATGTTCTTGCAATTGCCACATGATACTTTTAATATATCTAATTTATAAGGTAGAATTAAGTGATGCATCCATTGTTGATTTTTTTTTTAGTTATAATTTGAAATTTTATGCAAAGTATTGACGTTAATATTACTTGGTATTTCAAGCTACAAGTTCTATTCTTTGATATTGTGCTTTTCTAGGTAAATCAGTAAAGGTTGTCCTATAGTGCTCTATCTTACCATCTTCATGTTTTGGGTACACATGCTTTTAATTTATAAATAACTTATCAGAGCTGTTAGTTTATGTTGTCTCCATGCATGCTGTTACTTTATACCTTGCAGATTTTGGAACTTGATCATCAGATTGAGAAGAGCAAAGTTACTTTAAGTTCTTTGAAGGATCTTGATTATATTTTTAGAAGGTAAGTTTTCCCTTTATGGATCTTCGTGATTTTTCAATGTTCTGTATTCATGGTTTCATCGAGATATTTCGTTTTTCTTGTATTTAGGGTTGAAGCTATTGAACAAATTGAGGATGCATTGACAGGAGTAAAAGTCATTGAATTTGAAGGGAACTGTATTAGGTTGTCAATTAGGATATTTCTTCCAGCTACTGAGGTTTTAAGGTGCCAACAAAAGGTGGAAGATATCACTGAGCCATCTGTGCTGGATCATGAATTGTTAATAGAGGTTATGGATGGGAGCATGGAGCTAAAGAATGTAGAGGTATGTGAAGCTCAAAATTATAAAACTTATGAAGAACTTTTCTTACATATGCCTTGTTCAAGACTCAAGAGAACAAAAGGTAAACAACATGACATTTCAATGAAAAATTAACTATTAAAAATAGTGCTAGTTCTAGGGTTCTCCCTACTATAGTTTAGAAACCCTAAAGTATATAGTCATTGGTTATCTTAGCAAAGTAGCAGTTCATCTAAAGGAACCTATCCATATATCTTAAATGTTGTTGAAAACCTGAAATTCTATGTTCAATTTTCTCTTGAGAAAAGGTGATAGAAATGTATCAGTATGGAAAGAAGGGTGTCTACATGGGGAATATATAGAACAGTGTATAAAAGGTAAGGTTATACAGCCTCATCCCACCACTAGGCAAAGTTTTAGAGTAAAGGGAAGAGTTATCAGGGACAGGGAGGGGGAGATGTAACAGGGTGAGTTTGTGAGTCCTTTGGGAGTGAGTGTGGTCTCCTGGTAGTTCTAGATTGGGTTGGGCAGTGCTTTCTAGGCTTATTGTGGATTTTATCTGCCTGGCATTTGAGTTATGGGGCATACAATTCTAGATTACATTTAAAAAAAGATGGACGGTAGCAGTTTTGTTGGACAATTTGGGAAGAAAGGAATCACAGAATCTTTCTTGACAAAGCAAGAAGCCGAGATGCTATTGTTGAAGCCATTCTTATCAGAGTTGTCCATTGGGTGAAGACACTGGATCTCTTCAAGAATATTGTTGCAGATGATTTATTGAGAAAAATGGAGTGAGGTGGCTGGTTCTTCTCCTCTTAGGGAGGTTACTAGGCCTATTTGGTCCCCCCCCATCCTGAGGTTTCGTCAAGTTTAATTTTGACAGTAACAGTGAAGGTAATCCAGGTCTATCTGGAATCAGAGGTACCTTCAGAGATGAGGAAGGGAAAATCATTGCTATTTATTCTGGGCCGATTGGAATTGGTGATTCTTTGAGAGCGGAGATTATGGTGGTGGTGGAAGGTGTCCAAAGGGCTAGAGAGCTGAATGTTAGGAAGCTTATCATTGAGGGTGACTTGAATCTTGTGGTTGAGTGGCTCCAAGGTGAAGAGGAGGGATGGTGGTTCGATATCTTTGAAAAGAGAAAAGTTTTGAGATTGATTCAGGGGATGGAGGTGAACTTCAAATGGGTGAGAAGGGATGCCAATGTATTTGCTGACACTCTTTCTAAACAAGGGGTGGGAAGGGATAGTTTGTTTTGGGCTGTTTTGTAATAGCTTCTTTCTTTGGGGAGGGTTAAGAGAGTTTATCTCTCCCCTTGTTGTTCTTGTACCCATGTTTCCCCTTCTCAATTAATGAAATTGGTTCTGTTATTGATAAAAAAACAAAAAGATGGTGGAATTATTCTATTTTTGTCCCAGTTGCTTGTAGTTTCTTGTATTATATTGCTTTCTTTTGATAGTTAATGCACTTTCTTTAAAGAAAATCTCCAACCCATCATCCAAAACAACTAAAATCATAGAGTTGTTGCTGTAAAAAAGATGCTTTTCCATACTCGATCTTGCTCAACCATTTACCAGAAAAAGTCATTGCTCAAGTACGACATCAGATTTGGACTGACAAAGCTTCGAAGGTTTGCTTTATTTTGTTAAGGTGATAGACTAGTTTCCATTGGTCTGGGGAATGCTTTTGTTATATCTAATAGCATTGGTCATATCTTTGTCAATTCTCATAGGGTATTTGATAGCGACTCTGGCCTTGTATGATTTTTTTTAATAGGCAAACATTTATTATTATGACTATTAAATAAGCTTGGCCTTGTATGAATTGTAATCACAAAGGCCTTGGTTGAGTTTGTGTCCTTTGACTGGTCCATTGGAACCCCCAAAAAGTATTGCCATCACTATTTATGGTAATTTTTGCCTTATCGGACCTAATATTTATAGTAAAAACATGATTTACTATTTTTAGTGGTTTCTGGTTTCTTTACATTAAGTTGGTTTTTAGTAGGATGGTAGGGTGTTATTGAAGTTGCTTAGGAGTCAGACTCCTTTTTTGAGTGTATCTATGAGTTACCTATGGGTTTGTCTTAGTTTTAAATTAATTAGAAACAGTTCAGTCAGTTTCCTAGTCCAAATTGGAATTTGGACATCGAAGTTTTAAATTAATTTGTAAAGGGACATCCAAGTTTTAAATTAATTTGTAAAGGGACATCCAAGTTCTTATGGTGAGTCTATAAATAGAGTGTATCTATGAGTTACCTATGGGTTTGTCTTAGTTTTAAATTAATTAGAAACAGTTCAGTCAGTTTCCTAGTCCAAATTGGAATTTGTAAAGGGACATCCAAGTTCTTATGGTGAGTCTATAAATTGAGTGTATCTATGAGTTACCTATGGGTTTGTCTTAGTTTTAAATTAACTAGAAACAGTTCAGTCAGTTTCCTAGTCCAAATTGGAATTTGTAAAGGGACATCCAAGTTCTTATGGTGAGTCTATAAATAGAGTTATTGTAATTGAAAAGATAAGAGGCTTTTTGATTGGTCTTGAAAAAAATAAGAGTTGATTTGATGAAATAAAGTTTGGTTTAGTGAATTCTGGTTGTTGGCATGAATTTTTATCTTATTTTTTTCTTAGTGGCCTATGTCATTACTTTTGCTATAACAACAGGAGTTCTCCTTTTTAATCTCTTCCTCATTCTTTGGTGGACAGCAGGATAACTACTTGCTTCCCCATCTCTATTCTTCATCATTAATCATTCAATTCTTCTTTTATCACCCCCAGAGGCCACTACAGATCTAAAATTGTAGGACCCTACATTGTTCTATATCAATATTGTTCTTTCTTTGCTTTTATTTTACCAATGCCTATTCCAAAGAATGCTAGCTTGAGTAGGAGGTGATGGAACAAGAGATGAATGCACTTAAAGAGCTATAGTTTAGAGCTTGTTGACCTACTGTAAAGTAAAGAACAGGTTTGGTGTAAACAGGAGAGGCCTGCTCTTGTTTCAAAGAAGAAATTCTATCAGGGTGTTACTATCTCTTGTGTTTAGTTATTCTTAGCTTTTATTTTAACTTGACATATAAAATGCTTTTCTAAATAGTGGCCCTTAGGAAGAGGTTTATATATTATCACTACTGGGTTTTATATTTCTTTATATCAAGGGAAGGTGTATAGGTTGATGAAATTGGTTTATGGATGAAAATGTTTACCAAGAGTTTGGTTTGATTGGTTTAGGGATGAAATTTAGAGGTTTGAATTTTTCCAGTTGTAGGTAGACTACATCCTTTTCATCAGGAAGGGTGGTGCATTACTAACTGCTTTAATTGTGTATGTTGATGATATTGTGGTTATAGAGAATAATCCTCCAAAGGATTGCACAATTAAAAAAGTTTTGGTTGTTAATTTCAATATAAAGACTCAAAGACTTGAAATACTTATTGGGTTTTGAAGTTGCTAAATTGAAAAGTTGTATTTTATCTCTTGGAGGAAGTATATTCTTGATCTTTTGAAGGATACTTGGAAAATTGGAGCATGTAACTGACAATCCTATTGACCAAAAACCACAAGTTGATTGCTATTTGTGGATAATTTCTAAAAGATAGGGAGCATTATCAATTATCAAATGCTGATTGGTAGATTACTTTATTTGTGCTCAACATGGCTGGATATTTCCTGTGTTGGTAGTGTTATTGGTTAGTTTATGCATGAGCCAGGGGTTCCCCAATTGGAAGTAGATAAACAAAGAGCCCTGTTGGGAAATACATCCAACAGGAACACTAGAAATATCTTTACACACCCTCAAGGACTTGCGTCTCCACAGACAATGAGAGTGGCGGGGTTAATCCAAGGATGCCACATATCAATTCTTATAGACAATGACAATTCCTTTAATTTCATAACTCAGATTCTGGTGGATAAGCTAGGACTCCCTGTTCAACTAGCAACAGCCTTTATGGTGCATGTAGCCAATGGTAATAGCCTATCTTGCAACAGTATATGCCTGGGCTTACCATTGAAAGTTCAGGGTCACTAATTTTTAGTGGACCTTTATCCCCTTAATCTCAGTGGAACAGATGTGGTGTTAGGTATCCAGTGGTTAAGGCAATTAGGCCTCACAGTCTGTGACTGGGCTTGCCTCACCATGGACTTCACATCGGGTGATACAACAGTCCATTTACAAGGACAAACATGCAAAGGCCCATGACCCATCAGTCTTGCAACGTTAACAAAACAAGCTGGAGATCCTGATCAGCTCATATTCATGCACATTGATTCAAACTAGGCTAGTCTGTTCTTAGTTAACAACAATACCAACGGGCCTGGAGACTATCACAGTCGTCTACAACAACTCCTTCAGCAATATGACAATGTGTTCAGAGAACCCCAGGAGCTTCCACCACCTTGGGAGCATGACCATTGCATCCCTCTCATGCTAGGAGCTACTCCAACCAATGTAAGACCCTACTGATACTCTTATTTTCATTTGAAATTGAGAAGCAAGTTCAAGATACGCTTGAGAAAAGAATAATACAACCCAGCCATAGTCTATTCTCCTCACTAGTATTATTAGTCAAAAAGAGGGATGGGACTCGGCAATTATGCATTGATTATAGGGCCCTTAACAATATTACCATCAAGGACCGATTCCAAATACTGGTCATTGATGAACTACTGAATGAACTCAGTCGGGCTACCATATTCTCAAAGCTAGACTTACGGGCCGGGTATTACCAAATAAGGGTACATGCAGAGGGTACCCACAAAACAACTTTTAGGACACACAATGGCCACTAYGAGGCCTTGCAGGTATTGGTGGTACAGTAAGGGACGAAAGGGGCAATATCTGCTAGACTTTTAGTGGTCCAATTGGTTGGGCTGACTCCACAAAGGCTGAAGCGATGGCTTCTCTAACCGGAATCAGGATAATAAAGAATTTGGGAATTCAGAATTTGATCATTGCAGGTGATTCAGCAAATATGATAAAATGGTTAAGAGACAAAAAAGGGGGCCCTTGRAGACWGTATCRC